TATAATTGATTTTTTAAAACTAGTCCTTGACTAGCAACAGTAATGGAACTTGCCCATTACAGTCATAACGGTCTTAAAACAGGTCACCCATGTGACCAACCTGATTTGACAACTTTTGCAGCAGTCATTAAGCGAATAAGTCATTAAGCAAACCAATTGTTCACTATGGCAAGATTTCCTGAAAACCAGAAGTAAATGCTGGTTATTGGCAAAAACATTATGAAACCTGGTCACATGACCACAGGATGCTGCAAAAGACTGTAAATGTAGGCCTAACATGCAGTCATATGACTGCAGAGGGGGTCAGCCATTGGAACTTTGGAACTGGGTTATAAGAACTCCTGGGGAGGTCCATCGTAAGTTTGAATAATCCCTAAGCCACTGGTATAAGTCAAAGAATACTTGCATACAATGCAGTTAATATTTGACACATAATATATGTGACATGACATATGTGACATGATAAAGACATAAATCTTTTGATATTTGATTTCCAAAGTTCACATAATTCCAATTATTGGTCAGAAGGGATTGCAGAAGGGGCTTATCCATCTGATCTGGCGATCCAGTAATATGGATATGGAATCTGTAAGGTAATTATACTGTTAGGGAAACCGACTATGCTCTCCTGAAAATTATGTTTTATGGTTTTTAAGGGTTTTACTGCTTTTAATTTTTGACTTTGTTGTACAGTACTGTTCTTTCCGGTTTTAACTTTGTATACTTCCCATAGTCTTAGTATCTACTTGTTCTGTGACAGTTTTGTAGAAATTATGTTGCATTCACCTTTAATAGAAAAGTGGAATGAAGGAATTAGAGTATGTCTGAAGATTAACTGTATCTGTAGATCTAAAACCATAATCTGAATTGCATCAAATTTCATAGAGGCATATGCTATAGTACTGTTGTATTTACAATTTGTTTGCTCTTGATTTTATTTTTCAGTTAACCGTTTATGTATGACTACCAGTAAGCAGACAGGCTTTTTATGTGATAACAGAGAGACCTGTATTCCAGCCAGTGAAGTTTGTGACACAAGAAAAAATTGTGACAATGGGGAAGATGAGCAAGAAGCATTATGTAGTAAGAGACTTAAGTACTTCCTCTTCTCTTCTTCTTATTTATTTATTTATTTATTTATTTATTTATTTATTTATTTATTTATTTATTTATTTATTTATTTATTTGATTTTTACCCCGCCCTTCTCCTTGCGGACTCAGGGCGGCTAACAGGCTGATAAAAACAAATACAAAAAATACCAAAATACTATCATTAAAACATAATTAAAAAGAAATATTTCTCTCTAGGATATCTTAGGCTCCTTGTAAAGAATATGTGATTATATATTCTGCAGTTTTAATGTATCATGTTATTATTTCTGTTTAGAAGGGAACATTTGGTTATTTATGCTATATCTTAAACAACTGGCTTACTATAGGGCTACAACAGGGGTGTCAAACTCAATTTCATTGAGGGCCGCATCAGCATTGCTGTTGCCCTTTGGGGGCCGGGGGGGCTGCGGCCAGGGTGGGTGTGGCCTACTGGGTGGATGTGGATGGAGTGGGTGTGGCCTACTGGGTGAGCGTGGCCAGCTCTACATCGTTCGTGTCAAGGGTCCCTGTGGGGGCCTGGGCAGGAGTGGGACAGATCTGAGGGTCTCTGGCACAAGGGGGTGGGACTGGGGCAAGCGCCAAGGCATGGTCCATTTCTTCACTTCTCACAAAGGATGACACCTCCCCAGCATGCACCCAGGGGGCGGGGCTGACACAGCAGGGGCCGGTCTCTTGTTGTTTCTAGTCGGCCTTGTGGAGCTAAGACTGAATGTGTTTCAGCATAGATGGCCACCACAAAATTGTACATTGGCTCCCAGCCAGCCTGAGTCAGCACCAAGGCAGCGGGGGCCGTTCCCTCACTGTTTCCAGGATGGCTTCGCGGGCCACATGAAACCACTCCGCGGGCCGCATCCGGCCCCCGGGCCTTGTGTTTGACATGTCTGGGCTACAAGATCTCAAGGTCTAAAACTGCTGTACAAATGTTCTTAAAGCAATATAGAAATTAATAGGCAAATATGTTCGCTCACATGCATATTCATTTCTATAATGTTTTAAGGACACTTGCACAGCCTGCATATTAAGTTGCACAATATCTTGAGTAATTCCTCCCCAATAACATTTGAATTTGAATGTTTGTGGTTTTCAATTGAATCTAAAATTATTTTTCTAAATAAGATCCCTTTATTCCACTGCTCTAGCAAATAATATAAACATTTCCTAAACTGAAGAGACAGCCCATAATATCAGGATAAGCACAGTGTTCCTGAAAAGCAGAATATGTATAGTACAGATAGTCCTCAACTTACAGACATTCATTGAGTGACCATTCGAACTTACAACAGCACTGGAAAAAATGTGACTGATGACCATTTTTCACACTTACCACCATTGTAGCATCCCCAAGGTCACATGATCAAAATTTGGATGCTTGGCAACTGGCATGTATTTATGCCAGTTGCAGTGTCTCGGGATCATGTGATCACCTTTTGTGACCTGGGGAAGCCAGATTCACCTGAAAACCATGTTACTAACTTAACAACTGCCGTGATTCATTTAACCACTGTGGACAAAACTCAACAACTCTCTTGCTTAACAACAGAAATTTTGGCCTAAATTGTGGTTGTAAGTCAACAACTATCAATACTAACAAGTTGCTGTACTTCTTGAAACAGAAACACTGTCATAACCACCAGAAATGAACTAAGAATAAAATGATCCCAGACCTCTTTGATTTCTTCTGATGTATCTGTGCATGTGTTTCATTTCAGCAAATACTTTTCATACAGTTGCATTGTTCTGCTAACAAATATGGAAGTTTTTGCTTTGGTGTCAAATATTTTTTGCATTCATCCTCTGCCCCAGTTCATTTCCCCCCATCTTATCCCCAATCCATATGGTCAACCAGGTTTTACTATGTAATTATTTGAAGATGAGCCCATTGGGATTTTTAAAAAAATCTGCAGCATAGCTCAGGAAAATACAGCAAAGAAGAGCAGAAAATGAGAAGCTGGAAGGAAATCTTCATTGACCTTGGACGGCTTACATCACATCTGAATTTCCTAGACCTAGAACATTATGTTTTAAATTGGAAATAGGCTATGGTCAAAGACAAGATTCAAACATTCTGCATTTCTTTAGCACCACCACTGCAAAGCTCCTGTTGTCCCTTTTTGAAAAATTGATAAATGTTGTCTTAAGATTACAATTAACAGATTTGATCTGAGAAGTTGATTCTAACTGAAATGTAACAATAGGTCTTGATCACTGTCCCATCTGACACTTTCTTTATTTCCACTTTTTTCAGAAGGTAGATTCATACATTGCACTAAGGCAGGGGTAGGCAACCTTGGCTCTTTTATGACTCGTGGACTTCAACTCCCAGAATTCCTGAGTCAACTATGCTGCACTAAGGCATACTGACTTGACATCTTAGGCTAGACTGAACTGGAATTAGTATTACCATAGTAATTATCAGGGGGTTGTGGGAAGTCAACCTTTGTCTTAACATGTTGTCTGAGCAATTACGATTTGTAATGTGGAAATTTTTTTAATTCAATATTAGATTTATTCCTATACGGTCTCTAACCCTCCTTTTGATCATTAACATGACCTGCAAGTAACTGAAACTGGAGTACTATGTTGCAAACAAAGTCAATACAATGTTGCAAAGATTGCTAATCTACTTCTTTCACTGATATGATTAATGCCCAGGCTAAGCTAATTAACCTGGCAAATAATAGCAGACAAGGAAAACCTTTTCCCAATTCAGAGTTTCCTTGGCTACACGGAAATGGCATCCAAAGTCAGCACATAGACACACACCAAAGGAAAAAGATCTACACACACACTAAGCAAAGTAAGATAAGTTTTCCATCAGACCTGCACATCTACCAAATTAAACATTACAAGGGCACATTCACACATACCTTCCAAAGGACCATTTCTCCTATAAATATTTCTGGCCTCTGTACCCCAAATTGTAGCTACCTCAAGTGCTGCTTCTATGTTCTCGAGTAAATTTCTTCCTCTTCAAGCAACTGAGCCCAGTGTCATTCTTTTGCAATCCCAGCTCAGATTTGGACTAGAATATTCTTCTGACAATAAGCTCTCTTTAGAGTTGAACATGCTATAGGTCAGTGGTGGCGAACCTATGGCACGGGTGCCAGAGGCGGCACTCAGAGCCCTCTCTGTGGGCACGTGCGCCGTCACCCCAGTCCTAGGCCTTCAGCTGGCTTTTATAAAACCTTTTCGCTTTAGGCCTCTGCCGCCATGTGCCCCTCCCTAAAAAAGGTTCAATCAGTCAATTTCAACTTCTCGCGGGAAAAAAAGATCTTCCAAAGTTGGAATTGATTGATTGAACTTTTTAGTCCCACCCAGTCTGCCATTACCACCACAGCCATGCCCACCCAATGGGCCACACCCACCCAGCACTCGACGATGCATAAGTGGGTTTTGGGTTGCAGTTTGGGCACTCGGTCTCTAAAAGGTTCGCCATCACTGCTATAGGTTCTTTTCTAGTGTGATTTGTTTTGTTTTGTCTTACTATATTGTATGTACAGAGACAATTATGGATTGTTCAATAAACCATAGTTTAGCACAAACTGCAAGTTTGATCAATGCATCTTATTTTGGCCTGTAAACTCATTTTACCAGGAATCCCTGCTTTTGTACAGTACTCCCTAAAAGGCCACGGTGGGAAAAAAAAACCTAGTTAGCAAACTTAGGTTGTGGCAAAAATACCTTTATTGGTATACAAATACAGGGCTTCTTGGTACTCAATATACACAATACAGAATAATGTAGTTGGAAAGGCCCTTGGACGTCTTCTTGACTCATCCTCTTCTCAAGCAGGAGACCTCCTGTACCATTCTGGACAAATGGCTCTCCAATCTCTTGTTAAAAACCTCCAGTTGATGGAGATCAACTCAACTCCTTTCAGTTTTTGTTCCAATTCAGGCTAACAGTTCAGAATTTCAGGGGTACAGTTTAACTAAGCAAAATTGGATTTTTTTCTAGATATACTTTAGAATTACAATCAGTATATAAAAATATTTAAACTTTGGCATCCAAAATGTTTAAACCAAAAACAGCAACTGAAATAATCAGTTTTTTAAAAAAATAATCAAATTGATTCTGAAATAAATAGTTCAACAAAATCAGTGTTCCGTCGACATTGCCAGGATATACCTTATATTTCCTTCAGTACTCAAGTTTTATACTTGACAGGTTGGGGTTTATTTATTAGGATAATATTTTTTCTTGACAGGTCACATTTTAAGAAACTTTTTATTTTACACCATTGTAAGCTTACATGTATTTGTTTTGTTTTGGGTAGGTGATTTGCCAAACAGTCTCCCTGGATACTTGATATTTTATTGCAAGAATCGCAGGCTTTGGATCTACGCAGACAAACGGTGTAATGGATTTAATGATTGTGGAGATTGTTCTGATGAAATGGGATCACGTGAGTCCTTTTTAAACATAAATGCATATTTTAAGGCTTTTGTTGTCTCCCAAAGTGTTTTACATTAGTTGACCTTGCCCTCAACACACACACACACACATATACAACAGAGGGGAAAACAGAAGACTGGTTATTCAAGTCCAGAGCAAAGGAATTAAGTGTAATACAACATAGAACTATGCAATTCTGACTGGTTTTTTCCTGCTTTACTGATGTTCTTCCTTATGCAGGTCCTTTGACTTTCTGGCCAATGGATGAAAAAAAGGGTTAGGTAGTTCCATAAGGAAAGAAAAGGCGTCCCTGTGAATTTTACTTTGCTAGTCGTTGCCAACTCTAGGGGTGCAGCAGTCATCTCTGTTTCAAGACTATAAGCTAGAGTTTATGGATGGATATAATTATAAATTGATCAGCCCCCGCTAAGGTTTTTTTTTAAATACCTCTTCCATTATGGTCTATGCCAGACATGTCAAACACAAGGCCCGGGGGCCGGATGCGGCCCGTGAAGTGGTTTCATGTGGCCCGCGAAGCCATCCTGGAAACAGTGAGAGAATGGCCCCCTCTGCCTTGGCCCTGGCCCAGGCCGGCTGGGAGCCAATGTACAATTTTGTAGTGGCCATCTATGCTGAAACGCATTCAGTCTTAGCTCCATAAGCCCCCCCACCCCTGCATGGCCTGAGAGGAACAGTGAGGCTCCTCCAGTGGACCATGCCTTGGCGCTTGCCCTGGTCCCACCCCCTCCTGCCAGAGACCCTCAGATCTATCCCACTCCTGCCCAGGCCCCCTCAGGCACCCTTGACGCGAACAGTGTAGAACTGGCCACACCCACCCAATAGGCCACACCCACTCCATCCACGCCCACCCAGTAGGCCTCCCCCACCCGGCCCCCTGAGGGCAACTGCAATGCTGATGCGGCCCTCAATGAAATTGAGTTTGACACCCCTGGTCTATGCCTTGCTATCTTTTCTGTACGTCTCTGCCACACCATACAGGCCCAATATATTCAGGGAGTAATACAAAACTGGCAGATCGTGTTTAACTAGGAAGCGCAATGGAATGTAAAGTGCTGTGTTGCTATATTATTTACTGATCAGCAAGATTTTTCCTGAAATAGCCTTGTAAATAAGATCAAGAGAATGAATTGGCATAAATATATTTAAAAGACTCAGAATCTTCTTTGGCATATGATTTCTCTAATCTCGAGCCTTTCAGATGAGTTAGGGCTAGAGTTCTCCTAAGTCTAAGTAAGCATTGCTCACAGCCAATGTTTCACAATTCTGGGTAGGGGACACTTACGTAGGATTACCCATTATTCACCGTATGATTTTCAGGAAGAAACATCTTATGAATGGTGTTCATGTGTGGTTTCTTTCTTTTTAATCTCGTAGAAGCCAACTGTCCTCCTTGTGGATCTCAGTTTTGGAGTTGTACCCTGGTGGTCTTCTATGATTATTGTACTTGCATTCCTAGAAGTTTTTGCCGAGATGGAATACAACATTGCTTTGACTGGTCTGATGAATACCTCTGTACAAGATAAGCAGATGATAAACATAACCTTGGAGAAAATAAAAAGCAATCCACTGAGAACCAGGCTGCGATGGAATTGCAGATAATTTTAAAGAGACCTCACAAAGAATGTTTTATATAGTGTTGTTGCTCTTCACGGCACTTGCCCTGCTTGGCTGCAGGGGCCACTTGTTTTGCACTGCAGTCACCTAGTTCTCACAGTGAAGCTATTCATCCATGACAGCCAAGAGGATTTTGGTTTTCATTCAGTTTGTCACAGAGCCTGACACTGCTGTTTCCAGATCAATGGCTTGTTTAAATTCAGTCTTTATAATCTTCCAATCTTGCACAGATGCTCATGTACCAATAAAGCACCTCCTTATATTTGTACATCAGAGGTTATGAACTTTCAGCTTATATCAGCTTAAGTTGTTTATGAGAGGAGTGTTTAAATATATAGAAGAGCCACGTCTGATATTTAGATGGCAGGCCAGGAGCCAACAGTGAGATCAAGACAAACTAAAACTGAATTCAATGAAATATATTTTGTACATTTTAATATTTATTTATTGTCCTTTTCTATCACATTAGAAACTTGGAACAAATGGCTGCAGCAAAGATTTTTGAACATTGCACTGAACAGGAAATACATCCCTTTAATGAAGAGGAAGCTCAAGCAATGTTATATTTGCAATAAAAATAGTACTTAGACTTACATACTGCTCCATAGTGCTTTACAGCCCTCTCTAAGAGATTTACATAGTAAGCATATTGCCCCCAACAATCTGGGTCTTCATTTTACCGACCTCGGAAGGCTGAAAGGCTGAGACAACCATGAGCCTGTCAGGATCAAACTCTTGGCAGTGGACAGAGTTATTCTGCAATACTGTACTCTAACCACTGCGCCACCATGGCTTGGATTGTAATGGGTCCTTGGCTAACAAGCAATAAAATCACCTTAACAACAACAATGGAGATTACTGGGATGGCTGTTGCTAAGTGATGCAATCATGTCTCGCTTTATAATTGCATCACTTAGTGACCAAAATCTCAGTCCTAATTGTGGTTGTAAATTGAGGACAACCTGTAGTTCCCTCTACTGTCTAGCCTGAAAAGCCCACCCTTTCATGTTTTTAAATAATTCAAAATAAAAATATTTTCCTATGGAAATTATAATTAAGTCCAAAATCTTACTTCATGTTTTTTCTGGACCCTGAGAAACTTTGTAACTTTCTAAAATCAAAATTTTAATCAACCCTTTTGCTGTTTATTCCAGAAAAAAAATCCTTATATTTAAACTTCTTTTGCTAAGAATTGAAGGAATCTCACCTGATGTTGTAAAACCTGTCAATTCAAAAGTTTTCAAATTAAGAAGTAATTTCCAAGACTGGAAAAGTATGCAAACCCAGTGGTCCTTAAAGATGCCAATTGTGGTTTGAGCAAGATGGATATTCCCTTGTCTCCCAGCGCATTAGACCTAGCAGAGAGCACTGTCTTGTAGTCTCTTTATTAGGAGCAATTGTATGGACCACTTGCTGGCGATCTCAAATCTCCCACCTTGTCTGGAGGGGAATTATGAAGAGCCAATCTACTTGCCAGCTCTTAATTCTGCCAGTCATCAGCTTCACCATCTTCAGTTTGCCATTTCTTCCCCCAAAGACACCTTTTTTTGTGTTTTGACATGGCAGAAAAGTGTGCTGCTTTTTAGTGACCATGGTTAATTCAAGGGTCTGGAAAAAATAAGAGTTCATAGGCCATTTGCAGTCTCAAGAATTATGTTCCCATCTGGGCAATTACTGATACAGGCAAGAGTTCAACTGGAGTGGATGTTTGGGAAAAGTTAAAGGATGTAGGGAAAATCGGCAGGAGTTACTAGGTGGAGAATGATGGCCCCTTTATGGCTTGTGGACTTCAATTCCCAGAATTCCTGAACCAGCATGCGCTAGGCAAACTCTGGGGGAAAAAATCACATAACTATATACAAAGAAAAGACAACCAAGTTTATGAATGCCCCCTCTCACATCCCTAAATATTTGAGTCTATTAGTAAATTCATACTAATTGTTTTCCTGAGCAAGGAATTTCAAAGGAGAGCAAGCATAATTTTCTATGCATGGGGTGTATTACTGCTTAAACAAATTCCAACTCACTACAGATTTATATTAGTAAATCCTCAGTTTGATTATGCCATGATGGGCTCAGATTCGGAGTCAGAGGAAAAGACTGACGACAAGCAGCCAGCTCCAGCACCACCAGATGGGCTGCCAAAGCAAAACAGCAAACAGATACAATCACTCTCTGAAGGGTGTGGAATTACCATCCCAACACAAGAGTTTGGAGGCTGCAGAGAGCTCGGAGGAAAGGCACTCTTGAGAAACTGCTTGCGCTGAAGGAGTGAATGAGCTACATCAGGGCTGCTTCTATTAAAATGGAGCAGCAAGGATAAGCTCTCCATTGACGACAACCACCTGTTAACTCCCCCTCCATGTACCCTGATTTGTGAACCTTGGAAAACTGACTTTGAACCGGCTGACAAATCTGCTATAAGCTTTGACCCTCAAGACTTGACTCTAGCTGACTACTGTTCTGAGTGCTGCTTTTATTCATCTGTAAGCCAAACTTGCTAAACTTTGGCAGGGAACTTATCTCTATACTTGAAGTGTGTGTGTGTTTGCCTCATTTAATGAAGAGAATAAACCCACCGCTTCCTGTATTATTTGGACACGACTGGCCTGGGACAGGAGAGTTTATAAGGTGGAAAGGTCAAATTTAATTGGCGAGCTCCAAGTTTTGAAACCCAAAACTGCACAGGCTGTCTTGTATTACTACTTTTTTTAAAAAAAAAAAGTTCAAATATATATTTTTGAACATCACAATTTACGTAAACAGTTCAACAATAACGCTCTTCAGCCTTTCAGTTTTCTGCATTATATTTAATTCCTTGTGGTCAAGTCTCGCCCTGTTTCTTCAGATACAGCATACAAAGAGGCTACATCACGCAAGAATGACTTGCATGAATTAAGACGCCCCCAACAAAAATCAACACCCAGGGCAAAAATGAATCATAGCTAGTATCATTTCCAGCATTTTCTCAGTGAACCCACCTTATGTTTACCTAAACATCATAAAGTGCTCGTTTATTGTATGTATAGAAGTACATGTTTATGGAGATTCTCAATCATCCAGGTCATAGTTATCCCAAAGATGCTTTTTCACAAGGCAACTGGACTTACTTGTTTTTCTTTGAAGACATTTCGCTTCTCATCCAAGAAGCTTCTTCAGCTCTGACTGGATTGTGGGGAATGGGAACTTTCAGCTGTTCCAAGAAGGCTCCACACCCATTTGCACTACTCAGGTGACCCTGGAGACACAGTTAAGCCTCCAGGTAGCTTTAACGACTTGCTAAAAGAATGCAAATGAACAGCTGTCTGCAGGAGTATAAATCCTTCCATTCCCCACCATCCAGTCAGTGCTGAAGAAGCTTCTTGGATGAGAAGCAAAATGTCTTCAAAGAAAAACAAGAAAGTCCAGTTGCCTTGTGAAAAAGCATCTTTGGGATACAGCAAGCGTTTCATATTCTTTATAATAGTTTGAAAATAATAATAATAATAATAATAATAATAATAATAATAATAATAATAATAATAATGACAAAGAAGTCTGGATAGTGGACAGGGCAGTGCCTGGAGATAGCAGAATAGATGAGAAAGAACTGGAGAGGGCAGTGCCTGGAGATAGCAGAATAGATGAGAAAGAACTGGAGAAGATAACAAAATACAAAGACCTACAAATAGAAATAGAAAGACTATGGCAAAGGCAAGCAAGGGTAGTACCAATAGTAATAGGCGCCTTGGGTGCAATCCCAAAACAACTGGAGCACCACTTGACCACCATTGGCACTGACAAATTTGCCATTAGTCAATTGCAAAAGGCGGCCTTACTAGGAACTGTTTCCATCCTGCGACGATATCTGTAATACTATCAAACATCCACATCTGCCTATCCCAGGTCCTTGGTAAGGACTCGATAGGTAGACAAAAATGCCAAATCCAGTCTGAACCTCTGGCTGACTGTGCGATGATCAATAATAATAATAATAATAATAATAATAATAATAATAATAATAATAATAATAATAATAATAATAATAATAATAATAATAATAATAATGTTGGAAGACTTCTTTCCAGCCCATTAACTGCAAAAATAGAATGCATCATTTATTTTCCAAGTTTTTTTGTTTAGAGAGACAAAGCTGAACATCAGCCAATTAGTCAAAAATGTTTACTTTATTCAATAAGAGTTTAGCAGGTCCCATTCTGTCTGTGAAAAGCTAAAGAGTTCTGATTGAAGATGCTGTTTTTTCTGCTCAGTTGCAGTTCTCCTTCTCTTTGGTAATTCTTCCATCATTTCCGTGTCTCTTTGTGGTAAAGGATTATCTGATATCTCTGTTCGTTCTTTGTAGAACTGCAAGTTCTCATAATGTTCTCTTTGCTTTTCTCCTAACAGTGATTCTGGAGATCCTTCTGCTCTGGGTCTTTTTCCATCTGCAAACAACAACAAAAACCTTCTCATGAAGTGGCCACAACTGCATTTTTATGTTGCTATGTTTTGGCCGGCAGCATCAAGAAAAGAACATTAATTTATATAGATAAAGCATTTTGAAGGCTTCCAAATGTTCAAAGGATTACTATTTTAATTCTTCCCATCATTTTAAATGAAGCCTGAGGAAAGGAGGAATCTTATTACATAAGGAGAAAGGGGAAGTTTAAAAAAAAATCCATTTCAAGTTAACTGTTACCATCTGTGTGTGTACAGCCTCTTTGGCTCACAGCTTCAGTGAGCAAAAATATACATCAATTTTTTAAAAGTAGTTTTAGCTGGGACACAATTGTCTTTATTCAATTACTTACAGAAATGTTGAGCTGCTAGTCTAGATTTTATACTTTCTTTTGGGTTAACTACTTCTAGGACGACATGTTTCCACTGCAAGATAACCTGAAAAAGTTAATTTCCATAGTGAGTATGCTGATAAAGCTAAAAAGAAAAAAAAAGTTCTATTCCTCTGTAAGACAATCAACCAAAATGCAAAAGGTAGTATTAATTATGCATAAATTATGATACTTAAATGAACAAGTGTCATTAATGTCAAAAACTGTGATACAGTTAACTGAATTGAAAGAATATACATTATAATCTAATAGCTATCCTTTTTAAAAGCTTAAACCAAAAGTAATAATTCATTTAAAAATATGTTTCTTGTTAAATAATCATTATTTATTTATTTATATTTCTAAACCTCCCTTCTCCCTCAAAGGGCTCTACAATATATTATATATTATATATCATAATACTTGTAATAATAATATACAAAGCTGAAATTAATATTGATAAAATATCCACTTATCTATATGTATTACTTTAATGCATCTAAATAACAGAATATTAAGAATCTATTTTACAACTGTCATACTGAAATAATATATTGTATAAAAACTGAGAAGATGGAACAACATGATCTGCATGGTTAGATTTAATAACATGTCAAAGGACTGAGCTAGTTCTACATTAATATATTATGGACAGGCTTCTTCAAATGTTACTCATTTAATTACTATTTTGTATATTCTTTTTTATTATATAAGCAATGTTACATTTTGTTTGTACTTCATCATATCTTCTTGTAGTTATATTTTATGAATAAAATGTTTAAGCATTAAAAAAAAAGAAAATATTTGTTATTGATGCCTGACATTTTAAAACATTCAGACTCATTTTACTGTTTTATATTAAAAATGGATATTGATAATTTAGAAAGTACCTGCTCTGCCCATCCTTCTGTTTTGCAGCTGCTATGATCAAATTCTTTTAAAGGGATCTTCGAACGGACTAGGTCTGTTAGTGTCTGGATTTGATCAATTATTTCTTTTGTGTCCTAGCAATAAAGAAAAACCAAAATAGACTGGCTATGTTCATGTCATACAGTGCTGTCTATGGTTTGGCTTAGCAAATTCAGCCTTTTTGTTTGTAAACAATGCTTTATAGTTTAGTACAATGAGGCAGCCACACACTGATTTTATTTATTTATTTATTTTTACTGATTGAAAGGACGCCTAGCTCCAGATGATTCTGGGTGCAAACAAATGATATGTATCTAGAGGAACTCAGTAAAACACAACACAATCACAGCAAACAAAATCTTACAAGGGCTCTCACGCTACTCTGTCCCAAGGCCTAGAATAAGGATTTCACCGCCTCCTGGAGTATAACCACGGTGGGTGACACACGGGTCTCCAGAGAATATCATTTCAGAGGGTGCATGCCATGACTGAGGAGGCCCCAATAGATGACACTGTTTTACACAAAGGACTCAAAGCACACTGACTCTGCCAGATCTTATCAGCATGTTTCCTTGCAATGTTTAAAACAAATCATGGCTTCAGATTAATATGTGAATCCCATCCATTCTATAAAACAACAAAGTCAATGACAAGACTTATGACAAGGCAGAAATGTTAACCTTTTTATATGTGAGAGTGTATGGGATGTGTACGTATATGTGTGTGCGTGTAAAATATACATGTGCCTAAATCTAGGTGTTAAACAAAGTAAATGCTTTTTTTTACCCTGAGGCCCGTCCCAGAGAGATCCAAATAGTTCAACTTCTTGAAAGGACACAGATACCGAACTCCTTTATTTGTGATTCCTGGATTATCTATATAAAAACAATATTACATTAAAATGAAAGCTGTTTTACATACACTAAAGGGCATACAACAGATAAAAGTAAGCCAAAGCTACTTAAATGTTTCTTAAATTGACCCTTGTTAGAAATGCTAAACAGTATACCAATTAAGCTATTATTGTTACTTAACTGAAAGGGGTTCGGAAAGCTTCATTTCTTTGCCAAAAAGGACTATATTTTAACAAGTATGATTACATTAAGCAATGTCTTAGGAATTACAAGAAAATATAAAATAACTAGCTATGGATTGTCACACAATTATGAGGAGCAATAAGACTGCCCTCTAGGCCCCTTCTTTCAGGCGCTGTCATGTCCAAGGCTTATGAAATGATACCTTCTTGACTGCAGCCTCTCTTTGAAATATTACCTCTTCTTAGATTAGCCTTAATTTGTTATATTTCAGGAAAGCCATAAAATAAAACTTTTTTAGAAAGGCTTGGAAGAGGATCTGGAGGTTATTGTTTTGGGTGGATTTAAGCTCTATGTAATATTGCTTTTGCTATTGAAATTATTATTTTGTTATACAGTCTCACTGTTTTAATATTCTTATTGTAGGAAATAAACATAAACCACTCAGAGTCCTGTTGGATTAGAGCAGGGGTCTTCAAACTTGGCCCTTTTATGACTTGTGGACTTCAATTCCCAGAATTCCTCAGCCAGCATGCCTGGCTGAGGAATTCTGGGAGTTGAAGTCCACAAGTCATAAAAGAGCCAAGTTTGAAGACCCCTGGATTAGAGTGGCATTATAAACCTGATACAAAAAAAGGAGAAATATCAAATTTCATGACAGACATTTGCACTTTTTCTTTCCCACTACAGATATTCCTTGACTTAAAACCACAATTGAGCCCAAAAGTTCTGTTACTAACTGAGACCTTTGTTAAGTGAACTTTGCTCCATTTTATGACCTTTCTCGTCACAGTTGCTAAGTGAATCACTGTAGCTGTTAAGTTAGTAACACGGTTGTTAAGTGAATCTGGCTTCCCCATTGACTTTGCCTGTCAGTTTACAAACGTGATTATATGATCCTGGGACCCTGCAACCGTCATAAATATGAGTCAGTTGTCAAGCATCTGAATTTTGATCATGTGACCCTGGGGATGCTACAGCGATCATTAGTGTGAAAAACGGTCCTAAGACTTTTTTTCAGTGCCGTTGTAACTTTGAATGGTCACTAAACAAATGGTTGCAAGTCAAGGATTACCTGTACGTGAATAAAGATTAGATATTTGACATCAGAAACTCCTGTTCCATTGAACTCCAGAAAACAAGGATATTGTACCATCTTGTTTACTATATTCGAACTAGGAACCTCAATTCTGCTCAAGGGAGTTGGGGAACATGTAAGATTAATACATTAAATTGAATTAAGTTAAATAAATCACGTATTTATTTAACCTCATCACTGAAGTCTTTCAGCAATTTACAACAGCACACGAAGCCAAAACTAAAATTAAAAATAGTAAAAATCCAGAATTCGAACTCTGTTTAAAATATGTCTTCATCTTGTTAAAGCCAACATAAACAATATATTTACGGCAGTGAGTGCATTCTAAAGAAGCCGAACAGCTTCTGAGAAAGATCAACGGGTCACTGCAAGGTAACTTTGAGAAACTGTAAGCAAACCTCCTTCACTAAGAGGATCAAAAAGAAAGAGATATACCTTCATATAAGCTGGATATATTCCAATGAGACTATAAAGTTGAATTACTAGTCCAGGGGTAGGCAACCTTGGCTCTTTTATGACTCGTGGACTTCAACTCCCAGAATTCCTGAGCCAGCATTTCTGGGCTCAGGAATTCTGGGAGTTGAAGTCCACGAGTCATAAAAGAGCCAAGGTTGCCTACCCCTGGACTAATCCTTTGCCTGGAAACAAATTGGCAGCCAGTGTAATGATGTTATCATATGCATAATGGGATGTCTTTGACCAAGCCATAGGCTGCATTTAAAGTTCTGACTTTGCTGATTAGAAGATTGCAAAAAGTGATCACATGACCCTGGGACCCTGCAACCGTCATAAATGCTTGCCAGTTGCCAAGCATCTGAATTTTCCTCACGTGACCGTGGGGAGGCTGCAACGGTCATAAGTATAAAAAACGGTCATAAGTCACTTTTTTCAGTGCCCCTATAACTTCCAATGGTCACTAAATGGATGGCTGTAAGTTGAGTGCTACCTGTACCAGCTCTCTAATCTTAATTTATACTTACCGGACAAATCTAATACTGAGAGATTTTCAAGGCCTCTTTTCATCACTCGAACTCGTGCCGTCATTTTGCGAAGCCCAATATCTGATAAGCAGTTATCTTTCAGGAGAAGATGAGTTAAACTGAAGTAAAATGTAAAAATTGCAGTTTTTACAGAAATACCTGAGGTATTTCTCTGTTAAAAGAGTATTTCCTGAAAAGCATCAATTATTATTTCGGGTTTCCTCTCTCAAACTGAGACCAGCATGAACTCTTTATGTAATCACAAATATCATACATTAATAATGTTCAGAAAAAGAGCATTAAGATTCAGAAAACACATTTTAGTACCTTAAAATTTATTTGTCTCAAAGGTCTATATAAATAATAAACCTAGTTAATGTATTAATCTAATCCAATTTGTTGTGTATGTCTTGAATTGCAAATTTGAACAAACTTCAAAGAATCGTGAATTAAATAGTTATGACACTATTAATCTGGACTTATGATTTAATTATTTAAACAGGGATTTTTGTATCACATGGATTATAATACAAGTATGGCATGTATTAGTATGAAAAAAGTACCTTTCTTTCTTTGAAATATTTAAGCAGTCACTCTTTTAAGACCCTCTGCTTAAAAAGCTGTCCTCAGTCCGTGTGCTATACACATACATGTGCATGTCCAGAAAACACTTCTTTGTGGACTATTAAACAAGAAAATCTGGTGAATGTGTCTACAGAAACAGCTGTTGTTTGAACTATAGACCAGATTTAGATACTGCACTAAATCATGTTTTGATTAACCTGGTATGTGAAGTAACCTGTAATTGCTGGATTGATATAACATCCCAAATCATAAATCAAACAGGTTTCATTACAGCTCAGCATGATATAGCATGTGAACCCACTATATATATATTTCAACTCTACATGCACAAGAATGGATTAAGGAGAAAAAAACAGGAAAATTTAAGTACTTCCTTCTATGTGTCTATGGAAGTTCTCAATCATCCAGTTAGAACTAAGGAAGCTTCTTGGATGAGAAGCAAAACATTACTAAAGAAAAAAAAAAACCAAGAAAGTCCAGTTGCCTTTTGGAAAAAGCACCTTTGGTTCTTCCTTCTACATTTTTTCTGCCTTTGTGAAGTGCATCCTTGTGAAGGAAGAAAGCACTTATTTATAACTAGCTGTACCCGGCCACGCGTTGCTGTGGCTCAGTCTGTGTCACAGGTGTTTGTGACACAGGTGTGACATCTATATAATAGTAGGTATATAAAAACACGCGCGTATTCGAATGCAACGTTGTGTCAAAATTTCAAAGCAATCGGTGAAGAACTTTCAGAGATTTAAGATTTTGAACAAACGAACATTTACATTTTTATTTATATAGATTACCTGTACAGAGAAAGCCAAGGTAATATACCATAATCCTTGACTTACGACCACAAATGACCCTCAAATTTCGGTTGCTAGGAAGTTGTTAAATGAGCTTTGCCCCATTTTATGATTTTTCTTGCCACACTTGCTAAGTGAATCACTGCAGTCGTTAAGCTAGTAACCCAGTTGTTAAGTGAATCTGGTCTCCACACTGACTTTTGTTTTTCTAAAGGTTGCAAAAGGGGATCACCTAACTTTGAGTCACTGCACCCATCATAAATATGCCAAGCATCCGAATTTTGATCATGTAACCGTGCGGATACTGCAACGGTTGTTAAGTGTGAAAAACAGTCAGTGCCGTTGTAACTTTGAACAGTCACTAAACAAATGGTTGTAAGTCAACGACTACCTGTAATTGGTAAGATGTAGGACAGTGGTGGCGAACCTATGGCACAGGTGCCAGAGGCAGCACTCGGAGCCCTCTCTGTGGGCACACATGCCGTTGGCCCAGACTTGCCTCTCCCCGCGACCCCCTCCTCTCCAGCAGCCCCCCTGAAGGAGAGTCACCCCCGAGCGCGGCCCACACGGAGCAGCGCAGCCAAGGACATGGCAGCTAGGCAGCGTAGACAAGACTCTGCCCTCATACCCCATCATGCAGTTGATGCTGCAGGGCGCGGGCAGAGGGTGTAGCCGCCATAGCGCTGCTGGGCTGCCTGGGCGATCTGCAGTGGGCCCTGGAGGCAGTGAGTGGTCCTGTGGGCAGGCAGGGCGGGGGATGGGGGGGCAGAGCAGGGGCAGGGCAGAGGGGTGGGGCCAGGTTTTGGGTACTCGGTCTCTAAAAGGTTCGCCATCACTGATGTAGGGTCCAGAATAAAATCAAGCATGAGCCTCAGCAGCTCTTTGGGCCAGTGGCTCTCTCTCTCAGCCCAATCTACTTCACAGGGTTGTTGCTTTGACGAAAAAAAGAGGAGGAAGGAGGGCTATGCATGCCACTTTGAATTCCTGAATGGAAGTTGGGATATAAATCTAACAAATAAATAAATAGTGGCATATAGCGGCATATAGCATGTACTTTCAGCTAGCGCGTACAAAATCAACCATTAGAATACTAAATCTGTAATAATTTATTCGATATGTAACAGATAAATGTATTTCAGGCGTGTTATAATTAAAACTGGAACTGATTTCAGTCGCCATAGTTCTTTGAGCAATAAACAAACAAATGAGAATGCTAATTTCTCTCACAATTATTATTACTGTACCTGGACAGACTTTCATTGGTGACATGCTCTAGCAGCTCATGGTCATCACCAAGTTTACAACAGGACAAATCCAAATGTGTCAGACCTCGGAAAGATTTAATTTCTTCAAGTTTTTCAGAGATAATTAGAGAACTGTAAAGAATGAAAACAAAAATGTTAAGCTCCTACAACTTAGCATTGTCTTGGGCACTGTCTTCTATTGCTGAAAATTTAATACTACTAATCATCTTTACAAACAAACAAAATAGTGTAAGAAAATAGTCTTGTTTTGGAAAGTAGTTTGGGTCTCATATATTTTGGAAAAAGCAACCACAGATTTTGTTAATGCCCAGCTTAAGCCACTTCTAATTATGCTCAGTTCCATTTCAATATAGTATCGAAAAGAACTCATGCAGTGATGTGCTAGTAAAATCATACAGTACAGTCAGGAAGGATCTCAGAGGTAATTTGGTCTAACTCCCTGCTTGTGCATGGTCTGCTAAAGCAAGGATTAGGCTTATTGTCTCTAAAGCACAACTACAACAAAACCAATTTTCTTTCATTTACAATTTACAAAGCATCTCAACAAAAGGCAAAACTGATGCAGGTAGAGCTGGGATCAAAATATAGTTAGGTGCAAAGCTGCAAGGAGTAAGCCTTAATTCATTTTCTTTAGATCAGTGGTTCTCAACCTTTTTAATGCCACGACCCCCAACCGGTCGTAGGTTGAGGACTAAACCGGTCATAAGTCGGGGACTAAACCGGCCGTAAGTCGAGGACTAAACTGGTTGTAAGTCGAGGACTACCCAACCGGTCGTAAGTCGAGGACTTTCCCTGCCCGGGAGCGCCGCACATGCGTGGTTCCGCCCCCTGCGCCGGCCGAGGCGTAGCTGGCAAGCGGCAGAGACGGAGCAGGCCGACCACCAGCTGGCCCAGCCCAAGGGAGGTAAGGCACCCGCCGGAAAAGGGGGAAAAAAATGGCGGACAAAAAAATGGCGGACAGCCTTGCTTGGCGACCCCCGTGAAATGGTCGATCGACCCCAAATGGGGTCGCGACCCATAAGTTGAGAACCACTGCTTTAGATGTCAATACAGTTTATTTTCAGGTGACTCTGTTAAGAAGGTTGCAAGGAGTATTCCTGTACATTTAAAATCTAATACTATAGAAAATGCTTCCCCAATAGGGTATTTTATTTGCCGGGGGAGGAGTACCCCAACTTCTATAATTCTCAATGAGCATGAAGTCTTAACACATTTCTGGGGTAAATTAAGTTGAAGACTACCCTGTATCCTTTGTAGACTTATTTATACGTTTACAACATTATTTCTCATACAAAACAGTCACAACAGCAGCACAAATTTAAAAACTTATGATAAACTAATAAGATTAGCTTATAAATATCAAGCCAGTAAGATTAAACTTCAGATTTAAATAATATCTTTCAACTGCAAATGAAGCAATAATTCTTCAGTTTCCAGCTATGTAACGATTCAAAAAGTAGAGATAGGCGGTTCAACCTATCCTATTTACATTGACTTAATTTCACAGAGCATTCCAATTTTACACTTTCTTGAAAATCAGTATATATACTCCATTAGCATACAAACCTACTACTATTAGCAAACAGTATGTGCTTACCCATTTCTCAAGCATAGTTTCTGAAGCACTAAGCATCCATAAGCATTAGTGAACGTCTGCAAAGCATACAGCCCTGTTTTTGATTCCATGAATTTCTGCCTAGCATCTGCAGCATAGAAAAGCTTTTCTGCTATCTGTTCTGGAAAGTCATTCAGTGAATCAACATAATTAATATTGTCAGCAATATAGCTCAGAACCAGGCTGAAAAGAGACTTAGCAGAATAACGAAGACTTCCCTCCTTTGTGTAAGTAAAGATAAAGTGATCTGTCCTTCCATTGTCATTTTCCTTGTTGACACAAAGCTCAACAGAGAATTCTTTGGAGAACAATCTTGAAGGCCTTGAATTTGGACTATAACTAATTCCTTTTCCTGAAGCTTGATTTATCATAAAGAGCTGACCATTCTCTCGAACATATATACGTTCTCCTTCTGGAACATTTTCGGCACCAAGATAGTATGACATTTTGCTTTCAGATTTCTGGAAGGAAAAGATAAAATGAACAAGGTAAAGCGTTAAAGAAGTGGAATAATTTTCCAAAATTTATTCCATTTATGGCTTTTTTTTCATTCATACAGATAGTTTAATATCTGTCTTTGTGTCCTTGCAGGAGAGAAAAAAAATCCACAACTGTCCTTATTTTAAAATTGATAATCTAAAGCAATATTTCTCAACCCTGCAACTTTAAGATGTGTGGACTTCAATTCCCAGAATTCCACAGCCAGCTTGCTTGCTTGCTTGCTTGCTGTGGAATTCTGGGAGTTGAAGTCCACACATCTTAAAAGTTGCCAAGGTTGACAAACACTACTCTATAAGGCAAGATTAATCCAATCCATGAAGCTAAATATACATACATACATACATACATACATCTGCTGTCCGGAGAAATTTTTGAAGATGCCTACAGCGTATTCGTATGACTGCAAAGGAGAAGTCAGCTTCGTTTACTCCCCGTATTGTAGTTAACTAGTAAATTCTTTCAACTTACATGCAATATAGTCAGATTGTTTCGATTTCAGCAGGGGAACATTGAAAACAACCAGCAGCCTCCCCAAACCCACTCTGAGGTATGCAACTGGGGAATCTACCCCCCCTCCCAATCCGTCGCCTCCCAACGAGACACCCCAGAAAATACAAAAATGTACAGGAATAAATCACTCGCCCCCACTTCAGACCGCGAGATTAGTGCCTGAAGAAGGCAATGCGCATGCGTGCCTGGGCGGAGACAATAGAGGGGGGGGGGGTTGTGTGTTTGTTTGTGTGTATTTGAACTCCTGTAATTTTCCAAGCCGCGCGGTTGAAGGCCTCTGAAAGTTCACGTCCGACGTACTGAAGAGCACCACAACGTCCTACCCTTTCCTAATTAACCCAGCTCTTTGGGTTCATACACAATAATTGAAAGATAAAACTGCTCGTGGATTTGGCTTCCTGCACGTTGCAGAGTTGGACTAGAACGGTGGTGTCCAAGCAATAGGCCGCTTTTAAGACTTGTGGACTTCAACTCCCAGAACTCCCCAGCCAGCATGGTTGGCGAGGGAATTCTGGGAGTTGAAGTCCACAAGTCCCTGGACTAGACTGATCCCTGCCGTCCCTTCCACTCTATGTGACCCTCTTTCGCTGTTGGATTTCATACAATGTCTTGAGCCACACATTATCTAACAAGATTTTAGGAGGCCACTTCCGGGCTTTTTCAGGCTAGGTGCTGCTAGGCAACTGAGCCGCTCGCCCGGGAGGAAGGAAAAGAAGGGACGCTTTGAGGCGGCGGCTTGCGAGGCTTGAGCAGGGATGAAGTTTACAGACTACTGCCTCAGCTCCGAGGGAGCCGAAGTTATTTTAGCAACATCCAGCGATGAAATGTACCCGCCGGAAAACGTCATTGACGGGTGAGTCTTGAGTCTCCGGGGTCGCGTTGAATATTGGAAAGGATTGACTGATTCCTTTTAAGATGAGTGGACTTCAACTCCCAAAATTGGGGGATTGAGTGGAAGCTGGAGAAACACTTTTTTTTTTTTTTGAACATTATGAATGTTAAAATCATGTTAAAGTTGCCAAGGTGGAAAAACACTGCCTGTGGAAAAGTGGAAGATGGAGAAAATCCTGCCTTTGGAAAAACAAAGTGGAAAGCACTGGTTTCAGAAAAGGCCAGGTCTCAAGAATGGTGACAAGAATTCACGATTTAAAATAAACTGTTTGTTACATTATATGTTCAGTATTATTTGTCTGTTTATTTATTTGTTAAATTTATTTGCCTTCTATTCCCCCTTGGGGCTAAGCAAGGCAGCTTGCAATAATATAGCTTCCTTTTCCCCAGATAAAGCAAAGGAAAGTATATTTTTCTGTTTCTCAGGTTATCCCCACAGCAACATTTTGAAGTAGGCTAGGCTAAGAAATATGGGTAGGTTCATCCATATGAGTGAGTATTGTGCTAAGCCATGGTTTGTTTAACTGTGTTGAAACACAGTTTCATACATAGCCTATCGTGTATAATTGCATTTTATTCTCTCCTAATAGGCGACCTGAAACCTTTTGGACCACAACTGGGATGTTTCCTCAGGAATTTATTATTTCCTTTCATAAATGTGTGACCATTAGCAAACTGACAATTCAGTGTTACTTAGGTAAGTTATAATATGTTTGTGTTTTCAAATTATATGTCTTTTCTGCAATTTTATCTTCTTTTCATGTACTGTTCCATAATATAGTTGTATACTTCATATAATAAAAAATAGTCATGCATTTATATTTGGGAATACTCTATAGACATTTCCATTTTAGAAGAATTGGGCCATGGCTCATAATATTTTTATATACTATATTCATAAGAAAGTATTGGTTATTATTAATATGAGTTGCGGAGGCAATTCTCTTTATAATTATAATTCTTTGTGGGTATGTTTGCTTGTGTGTTTTTTCCTAAGTAATTTATTTTTGATACCTCTATAACTAATTGCATCTTTGAATGTAAAATGAGATATTACAACTCTTCCATACTTGTATGCTAGGATGGATACCTTTAATTTCTGATTAATATGAAGCTATCCTGTAATGGGGACTTTGCAACAAGAATAACCCATCATGTTTTTGGTGACAAAAACATGCTAATATCATTAAATCAAATTACATGTAGTCCTTGACTTATGATCACAATTGAGCCCCACATTTCTGTTGCTAAATGAGAGATTTGTTAAGTGAGTTTTACTCCATTTTTCTTGCCACAGTTGTTAATCGGTGCAGTTGTTAATAACATGGTTGTTAAGTGAATGTGGCTTCCCTCTTGCCTTTGCTTATCAGAAGGCCACAAAAGTGATCATTTGATCTCAGGACCCTACAACCATAAATATGAGTCAGTTGGCAAGCATCTAAATTTTGAATACATGACCATGGGAATGCTGCAAAGGTCAAAAAGTGTGAGAAATGGTCACACTTTTTCCAGTGCCGCTGTAACTTTGAATGGCCACTAAACTATTGTAAGTCGAGGACTACCTTCTCTTCTGTGAATTTAACAAGTTTCTTGGAAAGAGAGATTGAAGAAATTATCTGGGTTTAAACTCTGGTATTTGGAAATGAGATCCACCCTGAAAAAGGCTGTGTACTTGTTGCTGCATTCAAACAACCTATTTTACTCTATTCGACAAATTATGGGGTTTTTTCAGCGCTTTTAATACTGAACAGTCATTTCAAAGGAAGCTCTAGTTCAGGGGTTTTCAAACGTGGCCCTTTTATGACTTGTGGACTTCAACTCCAAGAATTCTGGGAGTTGAAGTCCACAAGTCATAAAAGGGCCAAGTTTGAAGACCCCTGCTCTAGTTTGTGGTATGTATGGTACTGTAGGTCTATACAGTCTATACAGCTATGTGGGAGATAGGAAATGTGTGTGATTTTCTTTTGTTTGGGTGATCCCTAGACCCCATTTGATTGCATGTTTTTGAAAATTGTGGCCTAGCTTCCCAACGTTTTGGGGGGGAAAATGCCCCAAACTGCTGTATGCCCTAAAATAGGATGAGCACAATTAAAGAAAGGAAAAGCCCTTTCCAAACCCAGATTNGTGTCCATAACAAATTATTTTTGTACATGGAGGGGAATATATTGACCACATATTTCACACGCTCCTCACATTTGACATAGCCTAGCTTTCTTTGTATTGTAATAGTTCTGTATCTGATAATTTTCTCTGGTGAATTGTAAAAATGAAATTAGTCTTCTTACAAGTGCACTTGTGTTAAAGCTAAGAATTATTTTATTAATAGTTTTGAAATATTAAGGTGGAACTAGTATTCTTACAATTAATATTTTTTAAAAATATTTTCTTTAGTGAAGAAGTTACGCATTGAAAAAAGTGTATCTAAAAATCCAGTTGATTTTGAAAAATGCATTGAAAAAGGTAATTATACTTAATATTGTTATGATTCAGTGAACGATCATAATCTACTACTGAATTCAATCAAGTCTGAGGACTATGGTTATTGAAAAGAAATTCTGTTGATCTCAGTTTTTGTATAACATTAGACTAATAGTATAGAATTAAAAGTTCAAAGGAGATATTGTAATCTGCAGAACCAAAGACTATTTCAATATATTTTAGAAGTTAAGTTGTTGTACTTAGCAAACAGCAGTTGATTCTTTGTAATGCATCATCCAATTATCAATTTCAGGTATGCTCTGAATTGAAGCTGACCTTTTCTTTGACAGGTGACCATAGGTAAAAGTCAGTGGCCCAAATTCTTCTCTACCTTATTTGGGAAGAATGTCTGCAACAGCGGATGATATTTTAAATTCTATTTCTCTTTTTCATGATATATACCACTATGAAATATATATATTTCATAATAATAATAATAATAATAAAGTTGGAAGGGAGCTTGGAGGTCATGTAGTCCAACCCCCTGCTCAGGCAGGAAACCCTATACCATTTCGGATAAATGGCTGTCCAGTCTCTTCTTAAAAACTTCCAGTGTTGGAGCATTCACAGCTTCTAGAGGCAGGTTGTTCCATTAGTTAATTGTTCTAACTGTCAGGAAGTTTCTCCTTAGTTCTAGGTTGCTTCTCTTGATTAGTTTCCATCCGTTGCTTCTTGTCCTGCCTTCAGTTATATATGGTATATATGGATGGATAGACGGACAGACACATACTGTAATAGAATAATATACCAATAAGGGCTATCTCTACCTCTGAGGTTTTTAAGTGGAGGCTTTACAGCCTTCTCTCATGAATGATTTAATTGCTTTTCCTGCACATTGCAGAGAGTTGGACTAGATGATTCTTGTGGCCCCTTCCAACTCTGCAACTATGTGACTATGATTCTGAGATACATACATCAAAATATGAATGCTGACTATGAATATATGAATCTTCACTGGCTGCCAGTTAATGTGCTTAGAAATTAAAGAGTGGGTAAACCAACTTAAATCAAGAAACCCACAAGGTAATGATTTTTTAATGGCAAAATGTATATGTAACAATTTAGAATGGTGAATCCCAGTTTTAGTCACCCCCTTCTTTTTCACTGATGGTTTACAATGATTTCAAAAGACTGGGGTACAAGAGTAATAGTCCCTTTTATAAAAATAGGGGATGGGACATACTAGCTATCACCCTAATAGTCTACTAAGCATTATTAGCAATATTTATGCCAAATATTTAAATACAAAAATAGTGGATTGGCTAGAAGTAGAACAAGTCCAGAGAAATAGGCTGATGTTAGCCATAATCGCTGTTCCTTTGATCTTGCCTTTATTTTACAATATCTGGCAGAAAGGTGTATGGCTAAAGTAGGATTTGCCTATATACTGCTTCTGTTGAGTTTAAGTTTGCCTTCTACTTGATATCTGGGCCTAATAAATCAGATCAAGTCATCAATTACATTATAGATAAATGTCTGTTATTATTGCTGCTTGAGCTTCATGAAAAAGCTTACCTAAAATCTAATTTACTTCACAAAGTTACACAACTAAAGCAATACCTTGGTATGGGAAGATAGATAGGATTGTATGTTGGCACCACTGTTATTTACTTTTTACATAAACTCTGACCATCTATCTGAACACCCTAATCTTCCCCCCACAACAGTAGCTCATATGTTTCAATAAGTCAAATATGTAGTTTTATCTCAGACTTTCATTGGACTAGAACATGCCCTAAGATCGCTAACTATGCACTGTAGAGACTGGGCAAAGGCAAAAATATTGATATTGGCTAAACATATTAAAAATTCAAAAGTAGCAACTTAAATGGCCAACAAATCAAATAGATATCTTGTTAGAGGTACGATTAGTTGACTTGATTTTTTTAACTGGCTTAAGTACTAGTTCCAGTAAAGATGTAAGATTTATATTTTACATTTATATTCATATTTCAATTATTTTCTACAGTTAAATTATACAATTTTTATTTTCAGAACTGCAGTGTAAAGATGGAGAACTACAAATAGAAGATTTTTCTGTAAGTATCTTTCATTTAGTATTAACACATTATAAAATATTGCATTTTTTTTTTAAAAAAATAGAAGTTTGAAAATATTAGATTGACATTGTAATCTGAAGAAGAGTTTTAGAAAAATCTGAAAAATATTCTTATGTTTACATTATGATATAAGCCTCTTAACAATTGGCAGCACTTAAGCAATCCTGGCTAATCCTAAACATGATTAAAGCTGGGTACTTCTTAGATGGGAGAACTCCAAGAACTACTAGGACCATACGCTGGTTAGGTAACTTAAAAATGAACAAAGAGAATAGCAAACCACTTCCATATTGCTGGAAATAAAACTATGTGTTCCTATTGTTACCAGGAGCTGAGCTCAGCTTGATGGATGATGATATTATTATTATTATTATTATTATTATTATTATTATTATTATTATTATTATTATTATTATTATTATTATTATCATCATTATCATCATCATCATCATCATCATTATTATCATCATCATCATGGCATGATCTGAGTGAAAAACTAAAATACACAAGCCCCATATATCTGAAATTACTGAATTACTGCTAGTGAATATTGAGACATGTTTTCAAAGTTTGCTCACATTAATTAGTTACTTATTTACATGATGCACATCTAAGCATATTTACTGAGAAGCAAGTTCCACTATGCTAGTGGAACTGTTGGGTTACATGTTTTTTTTAAATATTGTAGGCTCTGTACTGTATTATATATAGGACTGTTAAGATGCATTCATGAATGTTGACATCTTAGCATTTTGGATGTTATTGTAATTTTAGATTTGCGTGTAAATAGGGAACTGTAGTTGAAATTACATACAAATATTTAACTTCAAGATATGTAGTTATTCATTCTCTAAGGTTGATCATTTTTACAGATAAATGTCAAGCAAAATAGTAATAATGTAGGAACATTCTGTTCCTAACAAGCTTTTAAAGTATCCAAAACATCTGCCAGCAAATCATGGCTGGGATATCAGAATATAATAATATTTTATAATGCCACAGTAATGTAGTACTTCATATATACCATTTTCAACATTTAACAACAAATCTTTAAATGCACTGAATATGTTTATTCATGTACACTGAAACTTTCCTGTGGGAATTAATATTTTAAAATGCTGTTATTCATTACATCATACCTATAGTTTAAGGTTGTTAATATTTTTTTTCTTTGATAGTTTCCTGAGATCCAAGCTACATATCTTCGAATCATCATTTTATCTGCTTCTGATGCTTTTGTGTCAGTTCATAGGGTGATAGCGGAAGGACTATCACAAGAAAGTTAAATTCAGTATTCAGATTATAACATATTAAACATTAAACCTTTTTAAAAATGTAGCTGGCATTAATGACTCTTAAGTACTTTAACTACTGTTGGTATTTAATCTTTTCAATGTAAATTTGTTAAAAAAATTTCAACAATGAACATTATTTAAATATTAAATATGATAATATTTATATGTTGATGTATGGTATATTATAGATGAAATGGAGTAATAAACAAGAATCTTCTTTCATCAAACCCTCTGGTATGTTGCCCAATATCTTCTGTGCTTCTTAATTGATAAGAAATAGAGTTAATTTAGTCTGGGGCAATCTTTCTTTTAGACCACCAGGTTCCACTCCATCATTTTATCTTATGCTATATCATAAAATTATACCATATTTAAAGAAAACAAGTTCAAGCTGGACAAAGATTTTTGGACCAAGTTTAATATTGCATCTTGTTTCTATAAATATTTTTCCGTATCAGGTCATAATCCTCTATGTTTTAAATTATGACTATCATAAACAAATATTAATAGAAACAAAAATAAGAAAATTATTACAACTATTCCATTCAGAAAATTCTTCTCTGCAGACACCTTTAAAAGTCCTGTTCTTAAGTGGTTTGGGTTCAAAGGATCCAATGCATCAGCACATGCTAGGAGTTTCATGAGAACAATCATGCATGTTTGTCTGTTACAAATGTCAGCTGGTTCTGCAGCAATGTTTTCCAGAAATTTGATTCTATACATGTACAAAGATTGCTTCTGTTCAGATCCACAGACTAACGGTTACAAATACAGCTTTTATAGAAGAAATATAATTGGGAAATGTACACTGTTGCATTCCTGTTACTAAAGAAGAGATTGTTGCTCTATTTGACTATCTAGGGGCTGTTGTATATAAGCGATCCATCATATTATCTTGACTATGTCAGTTGAATGCTTTGCTTCATTAAAAAATTCACCACAAAGATGTTTTCAAATGTGTAAAGCGGTTTGTGCATCTACTGCTGGCCATTCCAAGAATGCAGATAAGCATTGGCAGATAATCCAGGGTAAATATATTAAATAGATCTTAAGTTATTGTTTAATTGAGAGTTCATGACTGCTGAATATTAATGATGTAAGGTTTTCACCATTATGTTTCCAAATAAATACAGCCTTTTACAAATAAAAATACTTTTAAAAATGTAATCAGGCAATGGAGTGTACGTGCTGCTCACAAATAGATTGCATTGAGGTGTTTTTTTACATATAAAATTGTTCCAAAAATTCACGAACTTCTTGTGGGCAATACTTCCAAGGTCCTGGTCTACCCTGTAAAAGGAAAAATAAATACCATGACTAATTTCTAAGGACGGGAATATAAAGTGTAGGCAAGGGATGTAAAATAATATAAAAAGAATAATTATAAAATAAATAGATTAAAAGATTAGGCTTTTCATGAAAGCATATGGCGTAAGAATATGAGCATGTAGCAGTGATAGGATACCAATTATTTCAGAATTGAATAGAAAAGATTATATTTTCCCATTGAATTAGATGCCACTATTTTTCTCAGTCATGGAAAATAAACAGCAAAACATAAGATGTTCTATGAAAATATGCATAATAATGCATATTTAAAACAATTTTCCCCAAAACTAAACTTGTCTCTCCCACAGGGTCTCACGTACATGTTTAGCTTTGCAAACAACCAACCTTATTGTAATAGCTTTTCTTTTTTACCTTATACACAACTTTTCCCTTTTGAAGTACATACAGTCTCTCAGGCAGAGCAGCATATTTGTTACTGCTCAGGTTTTCCATTGTGTCTAAAACCACTGGACATAAAGGATGCTGTTTTAGGAGCATCTGTGCAGCCGCTATACGATCTTGGAGAGTTCGGTGACTTTTAATGACAATATTGTTCTTAAAGGCCCATCCATCTAAAATAAAGAATAATTCATCTAATCCATCCAAAATAAAGAATAATTCTAACAAGAATTAGACTATTGATTGGATATATTCATGCTTTTGGTACTGTCCATGGGGTTTTCATGGCAAAGAAAGAAGGGGATGACAGAGAATGAGGTGGCTGGATGGAGTCACTGAAGCAGTAGGCATGAGCTTAAATGGACTCCAGAAGATGGTAGAGGACAGGAAGGCCTGGAGGAACATTGTCCATGGGGTCGCGATGGGTCGGACACGACTTTGCAACTAACAACAACAACATTCATGCTTACATTTAATAGTAGAAGTGGGATCTGTAAGAGCCCAGAACTTCTTGGTTTTTGTACTGTAACAACTCCACTTTTATTCCTATTTTCCTTTTTCTTCCAGAAGTACAAACCCATGAAACCTGTTCAGTCTTATGGGCTATTATCATGCCTAAACCTAAGTTGACTCTACAATTGTCTTATCATCTTCCAGAGTCTGCTGGCTGATAAATACACAGGGAAACCATGGCTTTGATACTATGAATTTTATTAATTTTTTGGTTCTATTCATGCAGATAAAATGTTATTAGGTGTCAGAGAAAGCAGTGAGGATGCTATCTCTTAGCTGTTGGATCTCAACAGCAATCTTTCTTAAATTACATTTGACTTAGACAATCAAATATTGTGGGGGGGATGTTTTTGGAGACTATATATACAGTATTAGATGCACTATAATTGTTCTCCAAGTTAAATTAGCTTCCTCTGTCACATAATATTAAATCTGCTCCATTAAACTCTATGGTTTATATTTAAGAAGAAATGCACCCAGATTGGTAGCCTGGAATACAATTATTTACAATCTAGTGAGTGTAGATTTTTAGCACACTTGCCTTACCTGAGGCATGAGCTTCTTCAATGTAGATTACAAGAAAGTCTGCTACAGATTTGAAATCTTCAACAAGTTTATTAAACTCGCCAAATTTGAATATGAATGAAGGTCAGGTACAACTTCCAAATGTTAGAACCAAAGGCCTGTTACCTGCAAGAAGCACAGATCAGTCTTGAAGGGTAAAGATGAGAATAAGGATTGTTATAGTTCTCATATTTATTAGGGAGTTATTTGCAGTTAAAATGCTACATATACAGTAATTTTAAGAATTTGGTCACATTTTTGTCCATATGAGATACCTAATATTTAGGGGCCGATTAATATAACATTTGAGAGATTTAAAAGGGCCAAATACTTTAACAGTAGACTTTTATTTTTGTGCCATTTTGAACAAGTTCCCAGAACTAGCTGGGGAATTCTGGGAGTTAAAGTCCACACATCTTAAAGGCACTGAGGTTGAAAAACATTGGTCTAGAAGCCTCCAAGTATTCATTCCAAAACACGAAACCTTTATTATTAAGACCCTGCTAATGTCACATGAATAATTTTGCCAGGATATTTTATGATGGTACAATTCTAATTCTCAATAAACATTATGGGATAAAGAACAACATATTTTGTTTTACATAATCAGCATCTGCATGTTGTATTATAATGTTGTGTGTATTCAGCAGCATGTATTTCATTTTAAAATGTCCCCTTTCCATATTTTCTGAAGCTAACAATAATTGCAAGCAGAGCAAAGATTTAGAACCTTATTGGCATCACCAATAAAAAATCCTCTAATTAAAATGATCTCTTCAATATTGCCTCTGTTTGAAGGAATTTTATGATATGGTTAGCTATTTTTGTCTTTTAACTTATGTTTGTATTTGCAGTAGAATTGTATACTATAATGTTTTGATTTTTATTTGAGTATCTGTACAATCTCTCTTGATCTAAGTGATGACAACCTTGAGTCTGTTCACAATAAAACTAAGCCAGGATTTATTGAAGAAACCATAGTAGCTTGATTCACATCACAGTGAAGCAAAAACATCAAATTATAAAATTATCTCTTGTTCTTCACATCACCCTTTATTGATTTCCTATCAAATGTAACTTTGTTTCTCTAAAGTATTTTGATTCAATTACCTATGGCAACTATTGGAATATGCAAAATAAGTGTACAACGCTGGTTGTATACAAGTTGGGTTTTATGTTAATTTCCAAAGCAGTGCAGTTAATTAGTTACTATGAAGTAGAAGCCAATAACTTATGAATATGTTAAGAGAGAGGGCAAAGTGCAGTTGTGTTTGTGCTGATATGTATCTGATTTGTTCAAGCTTTATCATGCTCTGTTTCTTTTCTGTGAAGGCATTTGTTATAGTTTTTAAGAAAACAAATCTGAGGTATAGATTGAACACATTTATTTGAATGTGTGTATCCTTTGACCCAGTAATACATGCATATGCATAATCTTGTATACAATATGTAATTTTATGTACAGTATGCAATAGCATAAGTTACTTATGAGAGTCATTTTGCCTGCATCAATCATACATATATTAAGTTAAATTATTTTCTGTTAATATGTCAAAATTAAACTACTCAACAAGTCTAGTGCCATCTTAACACTTTCCCCAATTATGTTGACATCTTTTATGTCAATTTCACCTGCATGAAAAAAATGAACTCTTTCTGTCAGTAGAGCAGTAGTCAGTAGAGCAGAATTAGTACCCTGATTTTGAAATTCACTTATGTTATTAGCAAATGCCATATTTCTCAAAAACATCCTGGTGTTTACTTACCTTGCATGAAATCCAGAATGCGATGAATTTTCCCACTGAGATCTGCTACAGGGGTGTTAGGAGCAGGACAGCCCTGAAAGGCTTCATCTTCCAGCCTTTTCCATTTGACTTTCAAGACAAAGAGTAAGTAGGGGAAGCTGAAGAAAGTTGGACCCCAATTTTCATACATGAATTTTGGGTTGCTACTCTTTTCTCTCTGCTTCAGGAGATATCTCTTCACAGTACCTGGGAAGAAGAACATACAGATTTTACCAATAATAGTAGACAGGCACACATGCAGAAGAATCCAGGATCTCTGCATAAATCTCTTCATTCTGAACCTCTTGGCAGAAGGAGAGACTGCTGTATTCTGCAAAGTAGAATTCAATGTGGAGCAAAGTGAAAGGGGGAAAAAAGGAGAGCCGGAGCTAAAGTTAATAATTGCTAGGCTCGTTAGCTGCCTCAAATGACCAACATCATAACAGTTATCAGTTCTTTACCTTGAAGAAAATCCAAAGCCTTTAACAGAATGTTGGTTAAAATAAATAATGTTGTAAGGTCCAACATGTTCGAAAACAAGGATTATATAATCTACTTAGGAGTTGAAATCCAGAGAAATCTTTCCAGGAAATAATTGTAATACTAGATTTCTTCCTTGCAAAATTAATGACCCTACTCCTCTAGAGGGTTTAATCAAAATATAAAACCATCTAGGGCAGCAAGTCTCATTGATTTCAATAGATTTTGCGTTGCTATCAAGTATTCAGAAGTTTATCTTGTTTTTATCTTGCTTATCCTTCAAGGAATACAAATGTGGGATATTTAGGACTTTCTATTTATCATTATAAGACTCTTTTACAATAGACTAGGTTGGAAGAGACATCCAAGACCACGCCTGGAATACTTCATCCAACTTATTTTGATCATGTTCGCAATTCCCACAATTTGTTTTAGCAATGAACAGTCCACTATTTTTGTTTTTGAGCATCAACTGCTTTTTGAAATATGTAGGGTGTTGCCTGCATGTTCAGGTCTGACTTTTTCACAAGTGTAGCAATGCCCTCCCTTATTTATAAATACTGGTACTGGGTGTTCCATCAGTGCGTAAGTGTTTTTCAAACTGGGCAACCCTAAGATGTGTGGACTTCAACTCCCAGAATTCCCCAGCTATGCAATTTTTCTTTTTGAAACCAGACAAGCTAGTAGTTACGCTGACTGGGGAATTCTGAAAATTGGATTCACATGTCTTGAAGTTGTCAAGTTTGAAAAGCATGCTGTAAGAGATTGTGCAAAAACTTGCGAATAATGGAAGGAATGCTGACAATAAACCACCAAGAGATAGGAGTTTGTTTCTGAACAAACCTATCAAATTTTCTAAGATTATTATTATATCTCTAAATTTGACAATAAAAAATTCTTAAATAAATCTGTACAGTTTGTATCTTGCTGGAAGTGCCTTGAGAAGTGCTTATCTGTACAGTGTACAGTTCTTCTAATCTACATCATATCTCACAAAATAGTAACCACACCAAATATTACTTCTGGGTTTCCAGGGATAGGGATATCAGTTCCCCACTGTGGATTTTGTATGAGAAGAATGGGGGAATTTTCTCAATAGCTCATCCTGCCTGCTCTTCCTATATTTGTCAGATACTTGACAACTGGCTTTGTAAGCTTTTTAGCTATGGGTAATGGTATATTTACCCACTTTTGTGATGAGTAATGTAGCTCCACTCTTGGCAGCAAATAGTTTTTGCTTTCCAATTGGCAGGCCCAGAGGAAGAGAGAGAGGCTTTTGGAGGAGTTGTTGGTGGTGGCAGAGTGCTCCAGGGGCAAAAAGAAGCAAGGCCTCTTTAAGGAAAAGGTGGAACAGTCAGGATCAGAAAAAGGAAAGGAGGCGAGATTGTCGTGCAGGAATACAAGCTAATTTGAGGGCTAATCCACATAGAGCTCCATTTCCATCTGTCCTGTTTGCCATCGTTCTTTCCCTAGAGACTAAAATGGATGATATGAAACTTGAGCTGGCCACAAACAAGGAGTGTATATTGGAGGTGGTGACCCTTTGAGAGCTGTATGCAACGAAATTTCATTTTGATGTATGCTGATTGGGGTACATTCAAAGTGACAATAAAGTTGTTATTATTATTATACAGTCATGTGGACTCACTGTAGTTAAACACGCTTGAAATCTTTTCATTATTGTTGTTTCTGAATGTTAGTTGCTACTTATATTATCTCTTATATTCTTCAATGAACCGGTTTTCAGCCAATGATTAATTTTTGTGGTGCAATAACAAAGACCCGTGACTCTGATTTGGCCAACTGACTGGCAATGTATCCAGGGATATGGTACCAAGACACCGAATGGTTTGGGTTTAGCCAGCTGCCTGACAGTGACAGGAGTTGAGGCAGCAGATCTGGCAGAGGAATATGGGAGGCAAACCACCTGATGGATCTACTTCATTCAAACCAGAATGATCTGTAGAGTACAGTTTGAGATCCAGTATCTCCATTTCACGGAGTAGCAGATTGTGGAATTGAGCTGCCAGATGCTGGGATAGACAGTTGTCTGGCAAAGATTCTATGCCACCCTAAGTGCATGTCAGTTATTTGGGGGGCTAGTTTTAAAAAATGGGTTTAGTGCTCTTCTGAAACAGTAGTTCCCAAATCTTCAGTAAAACTAATATACTGTATGTGTACGGTACACACATTTAAAGTCTGGCTAATCAATAACATACAGTAAACCTTAAGTAGAGGAGAAGAGAATTCTTCCAACTAAATCATTTGTTTATTTACTTCAAAATACAGGTACAGAACAGCTGGGCTTTGGTTTAGTTGAATCATGAGGGTTTCTTGAATAGTACTGGAAACATGTGGATGCACTCTCCAAAAAATAATTTGCTGTTCAGATATCTTTTTTTAAAAAATCCCCTATTCCTGGAAATCAAAGGAAAGGGGTGTCTAATGTTAACTTGTTAAGCCCTACTGTATTTCCACAAGTTTGGTGAATATTATATAACAATAGCACATCAGAGGTAAATCCATCGTTGATAGTTTGAATAATTTTCAAACAGTTTCATTTTGATTTTAATTCTCCAGAAGGAAGCAGTATTTGGTGGCGCTGGGATTTAAGAAAATAAGTTTTTTTCTGAATTGGATCCCTGGTCCACATAATCCAGCAATCTGTTTTCATAATGGCCAACCAATTGCACAAGGAACACCACTAGTTTCCCGTAGATGGCTTTAAAAAGTTGTCACACTGCCATGAAAGCTATCATACATTGACCCCCCCTGACTTTCATAAGTTAGGCCAACCTATTTTTGAAATCAGAAAAGCTAGGAAGGGAATTCCATAGTTGTATTAACAAAAAAAACCTTTTATCTGTCCTGATTTTTCTAGGATTCATATTCAAAGATTGATTGTTGTGGTCTTATGCCTTAAAATGTCCTTGTCAACCACGGTTTTAAAGGGATGGCATTATCAGCTGTTATTTATTATTTCTCAAAGTAATTACTTCTGATGAAAAGGTGTTTTGCTTCATGAGTTAGCCAAGTACTCTGACATGTACATTTGAAAAAAGGATCCTTTTTTAAATCCATCAACACTTGGAAATATCAGAGTAGTAACTCTGCACATATATAGTACTGTTCAGATTTTGGCAGAAAGCTGAAATTACGCAAGATTTGTTACGAAGAATTTGGTCTTGCAGAATTAGGTTTGCTCCCATATTACTGACTTTTGGACATACACGTAAAAACTATACTCTTCCACAGTGCTTTCAGTGATTAACAAAGAAACTGTTACAGAGTAAATTTAATAATATGGATGTAAATATAATATTGGATTTAGACACTTTGCCTGAGGCAAGGAGCTAAATGGCTTTCTTTCCTATTCCAACTTTCTTTTGTTCTCTCTATCCATCTATCCCCACTATTATTAATTTTTTTGCTGCCCAGATCAATAGTGTAACAGTATAATTATACATATGTTTAAATTATTTTTTTTTTAAATTTTGATGATGTTCAATGATCAACAGCTAAATTTTAAAACAAGTTTTACACCCAAAGTTCACAAAGCAGAGTCTTCTGAATTCTTACCTACGATGTAACCAATATTAAAAAAGCGGCTGAGACAGCTATAGTTCAAGGACAGAAAAACTTGTTTTTATTGCACTGATTTTATTACTGTACTGCTTTAAACCCAGATAATGGTATTCAGATAAGGACTGGGAAGAAAGATAAGTCTTTGGTGAAAAGGTTAGGCAACAAACCAATGCACAAATCCATACAGGTAATGCCTCTAAATTCAACAAAGTTACTTCTGAGTAACGTGCTCCTTTGGCACATAGCCATGTTAGCCACACGATCACGGAAATTGTCTTCAGACAACGCTGGATCCCTTGGCTAGGAAACGGAAATGAGCATCGTGCCCTCAAGTCGGACAGGGAGCCCTTTACCTTTTACCTTACTTTTGAGTAGGCATTAATTAATCTATTTGGCAGGGAATGAATCAGTTCCAGGCAAAAAAGACAATAATGCTGTATTATACACCTCTTTTAAACTGATGTTCTGTAAGTATCTTTGAAGGTTATTAACTTGTACTTTTTGGTTTTACCAAATGTAAAATGCATTTCAGAAAGTCTAATGATCTTCCTTCTAGTTATTTATCCCTAGACAGCACGGTGAGATTGGAAAATGCTGCACATTACGGGACAGCAGAAAAGCCTAAACTTATAGAAGTGATTTCCAACATTTCAGGTACAGGATTATCATCTAAAAGTTCTATATATTCTTACTATATCTATATGCAGAAGTATACTTAATGGAAAGTTTCTGGAACTCTTGATCATGTCAAATGATACCTACAAGCCAAGTTGCTCTCTTGAGGGGAAAAAACCTGCCAAATTGTAGACTTTTAGTGGAAAAGACTATAGACGTATTTAAAAATGTATATAGAGCTTTCCATTTTATTAAAAACACATTAGATTTACAATAAAATAATGAAAAGAACAATAAAATACAGTAAAATAAGTTCATTAAAAAAAAAAGAAAGCCAAGGCAATTCAACTATTCTTGGTGTAACTAACTTGAAGAAATAGCAGACCAAATAGTGCCAGGATGAAAAGGTCTTTGTTGACGAAGTGAGAACCTGCCCAATTTCAGTGAGAGATCATTTCACATATAGATAGTCCTTGACTTACAAAGTTCATTTAGTGACTGTTTGAAGTTACAATGGCATTGAAAAAAGTGACTTTAGATTGTTTTTAACACAATCATTGCAGCATCCCTGTAATCATGTGATCAATATTTAGAAGCTTGGCAACAGGCTCATAC